GAAATAATGAATGGAATTTGGAGACCTGCATCTTAGTTCTGACTCTGGCTGGGACTTGCTCTCTGTTCTTGCATGAAGTCATTTGCCCTTACTGGGTTTCAAGTTTTCATCTTAAAAGTAAAAAGATAACATCATTTGGCTTGGGAGTGAGTTGTTCTTATAGGTACCATTTATTAAAAGTTAACTATGTGTCAGCCACTGTGCAAAAGCATGTGATATACACAGTGTGATTTATTCTTCAAATGACCATGGTGATGAACATCATGTTATTATTTCTCCCACTCTGCTGATATAAAGACTAATGCTGGAATGAGTAAATAACATTCCAAATGTACATAATACCGTCAAGAATCTAGGGATAGAATCTAGGTTATCTTCATACACCTTATGGCAAACCATTTGCCTACCCCTAAAATAAAAAAAAAATATTAAGAATATACTTTGAAAAACAGTAAGCTCTAATTTTAAGATATTCTTTATTTTATACCCACTTACTTAAAACATGTAATATATGGATAGAAGGACTATTATTTTGCACACACAATTTAGGTATACACAATGACCATATTCATTATAGAGAATTTGTATCTTTACATAATGTATCTTGATTCCTCTTCTTTTTCTCATTACCATCCCCTCCTTTCAAGCCCCCTTCTCCTCCCAGCTCACAAAGCTCGGTTTTCATTTTGTTGAAAAAAAATAAGAAAAGAAGGATAAAATGCATGCTTCTTTTTTATCAATCTATAGCTTCTGTGTGGCTGTATGGTAGTACTTTTTACATCCCAAATTTTAAGTATCTTCTTCCTTCCCTTCACCCTTTTGATGGCTTGCCTCTCTTGAGAATTTCAGAGGCCCACTTTAATCCAAATATAAATATTGGAAGCTTTTCTTCTCAAGAAAAAAATGAGTGAGAATCTGGGTCCTTGAAGATCCAGTTAACTCATTTTGTAAGGCAGGAACGGAGTCCCTGAAATACATGAACAATTTCTCTCTGCAGATCCTTTGTCAGATTTGGTACAGGTTGGCCAGTCAGAAGCATGTAAAAGAATAGTTTTAACAACTCAATTTTTCATCCGCACAAATTCTCTGCCCATTTGCCCCATATTTGCATGAATATTATGCTGTGAATTGCAAAAAAACTTCCTCATCTCCTTGATTACAACTTTACTAACAAGGCACAATGAAGTTACAGAAAGATCCTTTCCTGTAAGTCCTCAAATTTTGTTGATGTTCAATAGTAAGAAACTTTTACATAGTCTACAAGTGGATCATTCATTCATTGAAGTGAACTATCTGTATTGTCCTGTTTCCTGAGACAGTCCTCTCTCCTGTAAGAGCAACTGCACCTATGGCTAATTAGCTAGCAGCAAGTACAGCACAAACTTTCACCTGTTTTTGTGAAAAGAGCTGTCTGCAAATGAAGTACTTTCTCCAGACATCTTCATATTTCTGCATCAATTGAGAGAGCATCTTTCACCATAATGACATCCCAGCCTGATGCCCCAAATAGGAAAGCAAACAGGTTATAGAACAACCTGTTGACTTAGAAGTTTACATTCTAGGGCTGGGTATTTAGCTCAGCGGCAAAAGCGCCTGCCTGGCAAGCGCAAGGTCGTGAGTTCGGTTCCCGGCACCAGAGAAAAACCAAAAAAAAAAAAAAAAAGTTTACATTCTAGTAAGTTCTGGAAAAAAATTTTAAAAACTGTTTCTCTTGAGTAAAAGGGAGTCAGCCAGCAAAGAGATACACAAAGGTTTATTACTCTACACTCATACATTTCCTGAAGTTTTCTGTTTTATTTAATCTTTAAAATAATCATCTTTTTCATTTACTCCCATACTTTGTCTTCTCTAGAATTGGACAGTAAATATATAGGAAGTGGGATGTGCTTTTACTTTTGCCTGTTGTAAAGTAATACATGCCAATGGTGGAAACTTTAGAACAGATAAAAGAAGCACAAAGACTAATTAAAATAACATTCATAAGTGAACGACTCAGAGATTTTTAAACAATTGGTTTCCTCTTATATATTATACATCCGTATACATTTCAGATGGAATAGAGAACTATGGATAAACTCTCAAATTATGACAGCACCAGAAGAAAATATGGGACTCAACAGTGACAAAAGGCCTTCCTAACACAGGAATTCCAGCACTTATACAAGAAATGAATGACAGATCTTACCACATAAAAATTTAAAATGTTAATATGAAAAAATATAACATACAAAGTTTAAAGCAAATGGCAGACTGAGAGAATACTTGAAATGCAAAAAGCTAACAAATTAAAATAACAAAAATTAATAAATAAGTGTTTTTATATAGATAAGACAAGGAACCTAAAAATAAAATAGGCAATTTACTGAAGAAATCCAATTGAAATAAAATAGGGTTGAAAATATGGTACAGTAATAGAAAAAAATTGAAGCAAAACTTAAATATGGTTTCTATTAAACTAGATACCAAATACAAATATTAACCATGCTTCTGGAAAAGAAATTATATATGGACCTTCATACATAGAGTGTAAAATAATACAACTTTTTGAGGAGTAACTTGTCAGTACTTACAAAGATTAAAACCAAACATAATTTGACTAACAGTTGCTCACAAATACTTAAGGTGTTCATTAATGCCTTAAATGTAATGCCAAAAACTGTATATGCATCCTAAATATCTACAAATAGAGATTAAATAAACCACATATGCAATTGGAAACTAAAAAAGTATTAGAAATAGTATGGCACTGCCATATTACAACATTCTGATGTAGAAAGATGTCCTAAACCAGTAGTGGTGAACCAATGACATGTGTGCCACAGGGGGCTGATTGTTCTCACTGCAAGCTCTAAAAGGTTCACTGTCACTGTCCTAGACACATTGTTGAGCAAAAGGATAATGTACATGATTTCCAATTTTTATAAATTAAAAAACAGAAGTGTCTGTGTAGTTTCATAACACAGAAATGCTCAAAAGTACATAGAAAGCTACTAATAGTGATTACCCCTGGAGAGTGGAACAGAGAGTTAAAGGTTTTAAAAGTTTAGATATTTTCATATTTTTTATAAAATGAACACATATAAATTTTATAGTTTCAAAGATTAAGCAATTAGCTAATATAGGCATTTTCCAGGTTCACCAAAATTTCAATAAACAGTGTTCTTAATGTTAGTCTGGTGTTATGTAATACTTGGGTCACTTATATAACCAGTCTCCTATGGATTGACATTTCCACTGTTTCCAAGTTCTCACTGTTACAGCTGCAATATGTATCTCTGTAGATGCACATTAGGTATGTATGAAGGTTACAAACAGAAGGCATATGCTTTGATGTTTCCCCTTTAATTGAAGTGACTTTGCACATCTTCAAGACAGCTTAGTTGAGGCCGCAGAATGATGCTCAGGAACATGTTCATGGAATGATCTTGACTTTGGATTTATCATCTAACTGTAATCCTAAAATTATAGACCTGAACTTGTACCTTAGTCTATCAGTTATGTAATCATTTTGACATCAACTGAATATTAAATTGTCTTAGGACAAATTCATAAGCACTAAGAAACATAACAAGATATTAGTTTTGGTCCATACATATGTTTAAGTAACATCTTTCTCTGGTTTGCCAACAAATCTCTATGTTTAACAGAGAATATTCCTTACTTCTTCTTAAATATGAAAGGCCTCCTAGAAGAAGAGATGGTCTAATGAATGTTGTAAGCTTCTTCCATGAGGCCATCAATAATAGGCCATAAAGCAAGTTACTTTCTGAGAGGAGGGAATTTCAAGCCCCACTGACCTGAGCTGAAAATGGTTGTACGTGCATTTATTTTATTTCACACACACTTACAAGGAAGACTTGTGGAAGAGTTGGGCTCTGAGATGCACTACATTCACGTGGAAGGAGAAGAAAGTTGTGTGAGGAATGCAAGGTGGGTGAGGCTAACCCATGATTCCTTACCAAGACCATTCCCTGCTCAATTTCCTTTTCTGTCCGGATAATACTAGATATCACTATAGATTACTTGTGCTTAAAAATCTAATTAAAGACACTATTTTTCCCAAGAGGAAAACTAATTTCACTATGAAAATTGTAGTGGGAAAAAAATGAACTTAAAAATGGAATAGGTTTGGTACCACCCACCTTGTCAGCAAGCTTTCTTCCAATGTATTTAACTTATATTGATAAAGGAGAGAAATGCTTAAATAATGGGCTTCAGATACTGCTGCTGTGGCTTCTACCAAAAGTTTTCTCACAGCTCCTTCTCATGAATAAGTTCAGTGGAGCAGAGAATGGCCCTCTTGGACCAATTCCACTTTGTGCTTCTTTTTGATGCAGCCATAATGGGGAACTAGAGCTGCAGTTTTTCCTTCAAATTTAAAGCAAGCCATCTACCTCAGAGGGAGCTGCAAGTGGAGCAGGGATTACAGACTTTCTAGACATATTCCCTGGGTTTTCAGGGACATTCCTTTTAATAAATGCCATTCAATTTAGTGACAATCCCTGGAATCTCAATTTCCTCAAAGAAGTTTTCATGTGAATCCAGTTCCTGTGAAGGTTTTTTTTCCCTCTTCACTTTTTTGGCATAAGGAAATAGGCAGAGGCTGCTTTACTTTTTCTTTTCTTTTTCATAAACTAAAAATCTTTGTTGAAAAGTCAAATTTAGAAAAAAAATCCAGCTCATTTCTCAGATATTTCTAGAGCTATATAAATTAGAATGAGATTCATACAGTTTAGCACAAAGCCAGAAAAATGGACCAATATGTCATGTGTTCTGTGAGATAAAAGCTATGTGATAATCAGAAAAATAGACCCAAATTTAAATAGTCCCATTCAATGTTCTCTTTTATCACCTCATGCAAAAACCAGTAACATTCACCTTCTTCTCATAGAGTAATACCATGGGGACTTTTGGGCTAAGTCATAATCTCTACAGTTTGTAACCACATTTTCAAAAAAATTATAAGAAAGCATATTATTTTTTAAACTCAACACACTTACGTTTTATTTGCTCTGTTTTGCTTCCTTCTAGGAAAGTAAAGAAAAACAACATGGAAAAGATGTATCTCATGCCTCCCATTTTCCACTTTTTCCTCATTGGGACCACTGCGAAATGCAACTCAGAACCTCCGAGGTGTAGTGTACTCAAACTGTTGAGAAGAAAATAGAAAAAAAGACTTAAAACAAATCCCCTGGAACTCGTGGAAATCACTGATGCTGAGGCTTCCAACTTGCTAGGGAAAAAATGCCGGAGAATTTACATAAGTGCAAGCATTCTTTGCTTGCTGAAGAAAAAAGACTTGTCTCTCTTGTCTTGAACAGACTGTGGGAGAAAATTCAAGTGAATGAACGTGCATTCCTATCTAAAACCAAAGCTAAATGCTTACAAGCAAGTCATGAGAAAATAAAAATAAATTTTGAAATCCTCTTTTCAAAGGAAATGGATTTTCTCAGGAGATTCGAGGACAGGAGAAAAGAGAGGAGAGTTTGCCAAAGGGCTATTTAGGCAAACAAGGTAGAAACAATAGGCACAGCCTTGAACAGTTTCTGAAATGAAAGCTAACTGGTCTTAGCTTTAAGACCACTGTTATAATTCATCTTCAGGAATTAAGTGCAGATTGACTACTGTTTTTGTCTGCTCCTCCATGAGTTCTATAAGGATGTTCAGTTTGGCTACTTTTGTTTGAAAAAAACAGATGTAATCAGCAAATGGATGCAATTCAACACCTGAAAAGCTTTATTGCTTAAAATGGTTCAGACATATTTCTCTCCCATAAAGTGCCTTATGAAATGAGAATTTTAAATTGGCCATTTTAAGGGAAGTTAGGCAAATTTTAACAGAAGTTGTTCACCTTGCACCACCATCCAAAAGACCATTAAAGCAAATGCAGCTCTTTACAATATGAGGTTGGCATTTCCATTCTAAGGCATAGCAATCTAAAGCCTTCCACACCTTGCAGCTCAGAAAGTTTGCTCTACCTCATATTTAATCATGAGTCACTTACACAGACTTTAGAATTTGCAAGACTCTTTCAATAGGAGATTGGGAAAAAATGTAAATAGTTTAGAAACACAAAATTCAGCTTGGGGTTAACCTTGGATAGTAACTGGACTCTAAACCTTTTTAGGGAGTCTAACCTAAATACAGAGCATAATGATCCCAAAGGAATGCTCATTTTGGAGAACTTGATTTCTGAAGTTGATGCCACATTTCCTACTGTATGTGGTATGAAGTTGCTGGGAAGATCCGAAGTCCATTCTTTCAAATTATGAATGTATAACCAACGTCAAACTGATCACAGAGAATAATTTGTGCTATTAGGCAGGATTTACAACACTCATCCACCTTCTTTCTGTACTTTATCTCTGATCCTTATAAAAGGATCTAATTCTCCTAGGCTAATGCTCCTAGCCTTACAAAGATCTCAGCTCTGGTGTCTTGCTCCTTTCTGTGAGTTTGTGGTCTAGTTTCAATCAGAACATCTTCGTACCCTGAGAGCTACTGGTTCCTCTGAAGCAAGGCATTTTTATTAAGCATTTAACACAGTTGCCCACCTCAGTGAGCTTCATTCTGAGCCTGCTGAAATAAGCTTATCTCCTAAGCCTACAAAAGAAACAGATCTTTACCCGTTGAAATCCAACTTATCACAATCATACATGGGTCTCAGGGAGAGTTTCTGAAACTGTGGCTTTTGGGTCTCTACCCATGCAAGAACTAACAGGGTTGTTTTTCTTGTACAATGGTTGGGCGATTCAGTGAACAGTAGCATTGCTTCATAACTCAAACTGGCAAGAAAATGGCCCTTAGAATTTTTTGCTTTCCTTGGGTCTCAACTAATGTTATGAGCAAATAGAAAAGTTGGTGACTAGAGAGCAATTAATCTCTTTTGGCATTCCTGTCATCTGTGTGGCCTCCCAGGCAGGGATGGAGAACATCAGAAAATGAATTGCTTTATAAATATTCACTTTTGATTTACAAGATCTTGAAGTCCTGCCTTTGTATTCTGTGCAGAAATATGAAATGAGGAGAGTTCCCTACCCAGGTCTCCAGACTGTTCAATTTCTCTTTGTCTTTTTAAACTTTTTATTTTGGAGGAGGGGGAGCTCGAGACATTTGTTGGGACGGCAGCAGTGAACAAGCAAACATTGCTCAGCAAACATCCGACTCTTATTCTCACAAAGAACCAAACTGTCCTTAATTTTTCAAATTATACTTTGACCCAGTTAACTGGAGTTATTTCTGCATTAACTCTCTGTCTGCTTCACACAGGCTGTTGTGCCATGGAACTTGCACTGGCTCTTTTACAGGTTACTTATAAATGTAGCCATTGACATGTTTTGGTGGGAGGCAGGAACCAATAAGAAAGCAACAAAGAAAACAAAACCTGCAACTAACACTGGGGCTGAGAATGGGGAAAGAGGGCGGTGAGGGTTTAACAAGAGAACAAGAAATGTGTCACATAACAAGGGAAAGGTAGAGTATTATGGTGCCTCCAGGAAACAAACATTCACCTTGTATATTTAGCTAAGTGAACAACTGCTTCTTGCCCTGGCTGTAGACACAAGGCAGAAGCTCACACTCAGAACAGATTTCCAAAGGAACAGGAAGGGTTGAACACATGTCAGTCAGTTCTTCAAATCCCACAGTATCTCTTTAATCCTCCAGAAAGGCTGGGCTGACCTTGTAATCTCACACTCAGGATCATCTATGGGACAGCCCCTAGGGTAGCAATTTTCTTTCTGACAAACATTAAGAAAGACATTGGAGTCTCTAGTTTTTGTCCCTAAGTTGAAATCCTCTCTCCACACTACCACCAAATAAGAAAAACTCCTTTAACTCTTGTTGGGTTGCCACTGAAAAAAAGGCACTTTTAGCCCAGGCACTTTTATCCTTTGTTGGAGGCAATGACTTCATTGGTGCTTATGATTGACAAACAATGCCTCAAATTTGCCTTGCAAAACACTTTCCCATCTATCATTTCATTTGATTTCACACAACTCCACCTTAAAAATGGGCCCCAGACGAGGGGTGCGGGGGTGGGGGGAGCACTCAAATGACTTTAGTTAGTGGCAGGGTTGAGAGGGACTGGAAGGCTGGTTTTCTAAGCTCTGTGTTCTGGCAGTATCACTTTGCTTCCTGAATCTAGTGTCTCAAACTCTGACCCCAGTGGTCTGGGCCAGAAAATGAGGCAGATTTCCAGAAGACACTGGAGCCTTTTGCCCATCCACTCTCTTTCTTTAACTTTAATCAGCCACTGGTCCAGAGACTTCAGTAAATGAGAAAACAGACTCTTGGACACTTGTATTAATTAAGGGGACTGTAGAACCCACTAAGTATCGGCGGGAGTACGAGTGGCCCCTGAAAGCATCAAAGAATACCTAGAAATGTAGGCCAAGCAGGGAATGGCGAGTTGTGAGTTCAAATCCACAGATCCCCAACCTGCCTCAGTTGGGCGCCTTGAGTCTCACCTGCATCTCAGCCGCAGGCAGCTAGAGCATAGATCGGATTGGGACTGCAGGTCTGAGAGTTCAAGGTGCCCTAGGGGAACTTCCAGAGAGGGCTGCAGCCCAAAGAAGTCACACCACCTGTGCAAGGGCTTGAAAGGAAGGTGGAGGAGGCAGACGCTGGTACTGCTCACTGACCTGGGTGCTGGTCTCCTTCGTCTGTCACGCGTGCACGGGCTCTGGGCTCCCCAGGGCGCTCCTCAGGGATCTGGGGTTCGCAGGTTGTGGCAGTGAGCTATAGTGCGCGGGAGGGGGGGTGCTCAAAAGTGGGAGGGAGGAGAAAACATCACCGCCCTCACACCACGAGGGAGCGGCGGCTGGCCGGGCTACGGGGGCAGAGCCAAGGCGGGGCGCGGCGGCCCGGGGCCACCTGCCCACCCGTCTGCCCGCTCCCCACTTGGCTGGGGAGGCCGGCCGCTCGGCGCTGGCGGGAAGTCCGCAAGCACGCAACAGTTCAAGCACTCACCCTTTCTCCGTCTCGGCAACACAGCTTTATTTCTGCTTCCCCGCCAGAAAGTTAAAGAACTGGGAGAAAGTGTGAGGCTCAGCCGCGGACTTTCCCATCACGCAGAGCCCCACCGCACCGCCCCCCCTCCCTTGGCTGGAAGAGCGATGGGGTCTTAAAGGGACCGCACATCTCTTGCAGCCCCTCCTCCCCTCTGCACTGGACGCACCTAGAAGCTCCCCAGCACTAGGGTATGCCCTGGAGGCCATGGCTACTGTCCTCCATCCCTGCCTAAAAGTCCGGCACCTTCTCCCTTGTGGCACAATGACCTTCACCGGTGTGCCTGCTTCAGTTCCTGAGCTGGTGTGTAGCATGCAAGTTGAGCTGGCCTGGCTGAATAGTCCTAGCATGTTGCTTATCATTTGGGACATTTCCCAGGATCCTCTCTGTGGCAAAGGAGAAAGGTTTGCTGTCCTCAAAGATGGTTTTCTGGAGATTTAGATATCTACTTTCTGCCACAAAGAGAGCTCTAACTTGTTTACACATCTTGAAGAAAGCTAATAGTGGCCCACCTCAGCCAACCACTGCTTTAGCAGATTCTAAATTGGCTCAAGGCCCAAACCTTAAAATAAAAGCAGCACTGCTTATCCCGAGACAAACTTACAAATCTGTGTTTATTGGATGACCCATAGTTACAAAAAAATTATCAGAATGCTGTAAGGCCCATGAAAATACTGCCTTGACCAAACCCATTTATAGTTTAGACCGCTAAATTTGGAAGAGAGCTGCTGGGATTTTTCTCCATGAACTGGATAACATCAATATTCTGTAGAGTACTTTATGGTTTGTAGCTCACTTTTTCATGCCGTACGTCAATATTATATTTTAAAACCTCAGCACAAACTGAACTATCAGTAACTTCACGTATGAGTTGCTGGAGACTTTCCGAGCCATTCAGTTTTAACCTTTTTATTTCACAGAACAGGAAGCTGATATAGAGGATGTTTGATGTACAAAGCTAGTCAATGACAAATTTGAGATTGAAATTTAGATTTTCTGACTTTTAACTCACTATTTTCTGATTGTTATTTCCAGTCCATAGATGAAGAAATTGATACATGGGGAAATTGTGGCTTGTCAAAAACCTTCTCATAAGGAGCAGAGAACAAAGGAAAATTAAACACAAGTAATTGTCCTTTTTTCTTTGCTTAGAAGTGTTAATATCTAAGTAGACTTTGTATTGTTGGAGATGTTTATTGCACTGTTAAAAAAGGAAAAAGTGACCCTTTCCGAAATGTGGCCTTCAGAGCCCAAAATGTCTAGTTTAATCCTGCTACTTAGGTAGCCATACTTTGCCATATGCATTTAATTTGAGCTGCAGTGTATATTTGTTTGGACTTGTTAATTTGTGACCATATAACTGTTATTCCATTTAATGTGCTGATGCTCTGGCTCACTAAAATGTGAGTTCTGCCAGGACAAGGGCCAGTTGTTAGATTTGTCTTGTGTATCCATCCCCAATCCTAGTCATCACTTCCAAAGTACTTACACAGTATGAAGCAAAAATGGGTTTCAAAAAACAGCCTGGGACAAAGCTGAATCGTAGCACTTAAAATCAACACACTTACAGGAAAAAGGGGTAAGGCAAGGATGGAGGGAGGGGAAGTAAAAATGATCAAGATGTGATATGCATGTGTAACAATTCTCCAAGATGAATATAATCTTTATGTATCGCAAACATGCACTACTAATAAAACTAATAAAATAAAGTAAATAGATTCATTGAGGTTTAAAACTTATGCATTTGGCTATAACCATTCACTCTGTTCGATGTAGTATTAAGAATATTGCATAATAAGACATCCCAAAACCTAATTCCTTAAAACAAATGATTTTTGGCAATTGCTACTATCAGATTAGTTCAACTGAACCTGTTCAGGAACTTTTATATAGTTACAGGCAATCATACACAGGGCCAGCGGCTTCTCTGAAAAGTTGTTCATTATTATAAATGTTGTAGTTTTTATATTTGTTTCTGTCCTTATTTATGAATTGGACCTGGAGTTTGCATGAGTTCTACCTTAGGCACCCCATCAGGTCTCATACAAACTGAACCAGTGATTAACTCCGGGTCTTGTTTTCTATATTTATTATATGGGGAGGAGAATATAAATAAGATCATACTGATATTTTAAAGTTTTTATTTTGAAATAATCGTAGATTCACATGCAGTTTTGAGACATAATTCTGAAGGATTCTGAGTATGCTCCATTGAGTTCTGCTCTATGGTGACATCATGCATTTCTATAGTAGAATATCACAGCCAGGGAACTGACATTGGTACAACCCTTTCACCATACTCTGCCTTCACCAGTTTCGCATGTTCTGTGTTATAGTTCTATGCAATTTTTTTTTATGTGTAGGTTCATGTGACCACCACCACCATATTCAAGATGCAGAACAGTGCCAATACCGAAAGGATACTCAATGTTACTGTATCACACCTATCTTTTCTCTCCCTCCCTTCCTCCTTGGCAACCGCTATATTCTCTCTCCCATAAATTTTTCCTTTAAGAACGTTACATGGAATCATCCAATGTGTAACCTCTTGTGCTTGGCTTTGTCTTCCACTCTCTGAAGACCCATTCAAGGTGTTTCAAGTATCTGTAGTTTGCTTCTTTTTATTATGAGTGATATTTCCTAACATGATATGCCACAGTTTGTGCAGACATTCATCTGTTAAAGGGTTGTTTCTAGATTTGGGCTTACAAATGAAGCTGCTATGAGTATTTGTCTAGAGGTTTTTGCATAAAGATAAATTTTCATATCTCTTGGATAAATGCCCAACAGTGCAGCTTTGGGTAATATAGTAAATGCATATTTAGTTTTATTAGGATTGCTGTAATACGGTAGAGCAGCTGTACTATCTTATATTCCATCGACAGTGTATGAGAGATCCAGGTTTATATGTTCTTGCCAGCATTTGTTGTCATTATTTTTTATATTAGTCATTCTAGTAGGTATATACTGATGTATCACTGTGGTTTCAAATTGCATTTCCCAATACCTAATGATATTTACCATCTTTTATGTGTTTATTTGATATCTGTATATCTTTACAAATGTTTTCCTCAATATATAGCTTGTCTTTTCATCTCCTTCTTACAGGCTTTTCATAACAAATTTTTCTAATTTTGCTGAAGTCCTGTTTATAAAAATTTCCTTTTATGGATCACGGTTTGGTGTTAAGAACTTTTTGCCTAGATCTAGGTCTCAAAACTTTCCCCCTATATTGTTGTTCTAAAAGTGTAATAGTTTTAAGTTTTACATTAAATCTATGACATTTACAATTGATTCTTACGTAAAGTATATAGCTTAAGTTGAAGTTCGCTTTTTCATTACAGATGTACACTTGTTCCATTATTATTTGTGGCAAAAGCTGTCTTTCCTCCTTGAGTTGTTTTATATTGGTGTATTTCTATCTATTGACCTATGTGTCTATCATATCTCCAGTGCCACACAGTTTTGATTATTGTACACATAAGTTGGCCTTAATATCAAGTATAGTGGTTCCTCCCAAGATAGTTTTAGCTGACTTAAAGACCCCAGGCCTTTCCATATAGACTTTATAATAAACTTGTCTGTGCCCATAAAATATTTGCTAGAATTTGGATGGGAACTGCATTAAATCTTTAGGCCAATTTGGGAGAATTGACAGTTGTAATGGCTGAGTGTTCTGAATCATGAACATACTAAGTCTTTCTATTTACTTAGGTTTTCTTAGATTTCATTCATCAGTGTTTTAGAGTTTTCAACATCAAACTCTTACACATTTTCTTAGACTCGTGCTTACATATTTCAATTTCTTTGGAGCAATCATAAATGTCATTGTGTTTTAAATTCAGTTTCCACACATTCATTTCTAGTATATATGAATGCAATTGATTGCTGTGTGATGATCTATTTGTATGTATTTTTTAATATCCAAATGGATATATTGAAAAGTGGTTAATATTGAACAATGTTCTGATGACACAAATGTTAGTTTTGTTTTTAGTGCTGGGGATTCATTGCAGAGCTTTGCTTGTACTAGACTGGGGCTCTACCACTGAGCCACAATCTCAGTTCTTTTGTATTTTGAGACAAAGTCTAGTTAAATCATCCAGGCTGGCCTATGTCACTCTTCTGCAGCAGCCTTCCCTGGAGTAGCTAGGACTACAGGCATGCTCCACTATGCCCAGCAAACTTTAGCTTTTTGAATCCCCCTTGCCTTCTAGAACGTGACAGACTCAGGTTATTGAATTAACTTTTAAAAAATAGGGGGACTCATAAAGATTAATAAGTGTATTACAGTATAGGTTTACTTCTTTTTTCTGTTTCTTCTTTAGGTTGTTTATTAGTATGTGCTTGTGATTACATAATGATTGTACTAATATATAATACATAACAATTGTATTCATCTTGGGGAGTTGGCACATAAAATATTGCATCTTGATCATTTTTACTTCCTCTTCTCCTACCCACCTTCTCATCTCCTACCATTAGCCTTTCCAGCTCTACAAAGTCTACCTCCCAGTACTACTTTATATAAAAATTTAGACCAACAAAGTTTTATTAATCAGATACTTTATTGAATTTGTAGAAGTTGAAAATTTATTCCATTGACCTTTCAGGACCAGTAGCATATATTGTAATGAGACCTTTTGTTACTTGTATGCATTCTTGTTTATTACAGAAAGTTTGTCTCTGTGTTGTATTTTATTTCTGCTAGCCATTTCCAGAAAGGGCTGGAAATCAAAATTACTTGTAATTAGTGTGATTCACCTAATATTTCTAGCTTTATTCCTGTTGGGTTCTTGATAGTAGGATTTTAATCCTCTTCTCTAGAGTTCAGTATAGCCACTCAATTTGGTTTGGTCAGTGAAAGTGTCATGTCACTTCTCGGGGAAATTTTTAACAGTGCAGGATTTGCCCCCTTCCCTTCCTCCTGACCGTAGGAACAATGGGTGCATCTGTTGTAATGAAGCTGCTTTTCTGGGTGACTAAAATGAAGAAAGGTCCCAGAAGTCTTCTTTTGGTTATCTAGGGTGAGTGCCAAAGGTATGCTTGGAGACGTGGAGGTTGTTCATTTTTGTACC